GCTACATCCATTCACTAGATATCAAGGTTCCTCTGAATCTTAGTTTGATTTTCTAAAGCGGATTAGGAAGCAAAGAAGGTAATTAATTAACGTGGAAGTAAAGATAGAGATTAATTAAGATTAAGTTAGTGAAGAAGGTAATGGATGATGATACGATGATATCTGGAGTAGATGCACCGATACCCGGTGGATACTGAAGGGTATGGGACCCACATTTTGATGAGATAGGGCAGCTAGGGGCTGAAGAAGGCAATCTATATTTATGCCTAAGAGTAGTGTCTAGCGGCTTTGTCTGGTTGAGGGTACTTGACATCTATACAGGGCTTCCTACACACCACTTCTCTCGGTCTCCTCCTCCACTATAGGCAACAATAACTTTTAGATCAATTCTTCTTTTTAATATTGGTCTCCAGTAAAGTATTAGACTTTATTCTTTAAGATTTATAATAATTTAATATTGCTTCGTTCGTGAAATTTCATACCCAAAAGTCCTTTCATGTTTATAACCTGAAAAATGTTGCCAGTTTATATTTAATTAAGCTACAGGACACTAGTGTGCCCCATCTCTAGACTAAGACACACCATAACTATGAATAACCACCTCTCTCTTAAAATGCATCCTGTGCGGTACAAGACGTCGTGTTTAGTGTTGTCCAAATGCGAGAACGAGACGAGTCTTGGTCTTGCAAACTCAGTCTTGGCCATCATGGTCTTGGTCATGCACAAGAGTCTCGCAACAGTCTTGGAGTTACTTATTAGCTTATTACTATATAGATATTACTGTAATTTTTTAGATAGGAGAAACCTAGCTAAGTCCGAATGAAAAATTAGAAGAGTTAAATGCAAAAGTATATTAGTTATTAATAACAATATATTAATAACAATTAATAACATATAGTAACTAAGATTTCCAAGTATTAGTAACTATTTTGCCTTAATTTATATTTAAAAAATCGATTTTTTTTACCAGTCCTGCTCTTGGTCTTGCAACAGTTAGGCGGCCTTGGTCTTGACCGGTTTTGGACAACACTTGTTAATGTTGTTAAGAAAAATAATAATAATTAAGCACTTGAATACGTCATTAAAGAAGTTATTAATAACAAGGAAGAGCGTCTAAGCTGTCAAATACCTGTGCTATGATACGATGCCGGCGAATAAGAGAAACATATTAAATTTAACGCCAAAACATTATCGATGAAGTCCGCTAAAGAATTATTTTTCGAAATAAAAACGAATGAAAAAAAATTAAGTTAAATACCCGAAACGGAGTTGATTTCGCTAATTTGAATGCAATATGAATTTCACTTTTAAAAGAATATTATAGATTTCAGTATCTGTCGTTTGCAATAACTAAAAAAAATTGAAATAAAAGTAATTTTGAATGTAGAATATATATCTGTAAGGAATTCAGTCGAGATATTTTTTATTGGGTTGGCCGTCGTTCCGATCTAAACATGTGGGTCAACCTCACGGCTATCGTTTGGACGACGAAACAAGAAGAAAGAATTCTTGTATCGATTTCCAAATCCAGCCATGTTCATTTTTGTATTTGTTCAGGGGAACCAATTTCCCATAGCTATGGGCTATTAAAATTTGTTTATTAGTTATAAAATTATTTAAGACATGGTGTCCCTTACCTCCGGGGCACAAATACAGCTATTAAAAAAAGCATAGCCTTTTGTCTATATATTAAATCATCAAATTTTGAATTTAGGGTATCTAATCGCAATGGTGGTTTCTCTACAAATGTTCTCATGTTATTTATTACTATGTATCACATTTATTAGACATATAATTTTTTTTATACAGTTGTAAGATTCATAGGGGAGAGGGGTAGCTCAGTGGGTGAGCACTGACTTCCAGAGCTGAAAGTTCTAGGTCCTAGGTCGAATCCGGCTAATGACTAGTAATTTTTCATTAGCCGTGGATCGACCTTGGGGTTGGCAAATTCTCCTGGGGCACACCCAGCCTGTAAAAAAAAGCCTTATTTAAAAAAAAATAATTAAAGGGGGAAAACCTGGCGGTTAAGCGTGATATCGGCCCCATCACCTCCCTGCACAACCGTCGGCCTTGTAGCAGTACTTCCTCACATAGTACTGCACCCAAGAACCTTCATGGATTGTAGTGGTGCAGGTAAGTTTCATAAATTAAAAAAAAAAAACTTAAAACATTTTCCGCACCTGTTGACAATCAGCAGATGGTCTGATGGAATCAATGATAGATTGGTCAATTATTGATTTTTTTGTTATTTAATTATAATCACTTATCTAGAAATATTATTTTAGTGAACATAAATTTTGATTCTTTTAATAACTACTTCATTAAGAAAGGAAATATTGAAACTTTTCAAGTCCATTTAATTTTTAAGGTAATTAATGCCGGACATGTCAAAGAAAGTAAGTGTAGAACAACATTACCTGGAACGAATATTTTTCCACTTACAAATTCGACCCTAGCTTCCATTGTTCGTTAACAGGTCCTTTGAGAACTCGAAGTATAATAATCCTGGTAATTTGAAAAAAAAAATCATCGTTGAGGGGGATAATAGCGAGGTCTATCCCCTATAATCACAAGAGCTCCCCGCCGCTAACTGGCAGATAGGGATGGCTTCTCATTTTCCCTTCTATCTTAAAATATCATCTCTTCCTGTAATCTGCCTTGTTCTCATTTGTCTGTGCTAAGCCATCCGTTAGTAAATCAGGTGGTTTGTTGTGAATTATTGTTTAAATAAAATTATTTTGATAAGATTGCTAATTATTTTAATTTCTTATCATTTATTATAGAATATTGTAGATGTTAGAGGAAGCAATAGCTGAAGTATTTCAGTTTTATTTTAAATCAATAGACTTCATTCTAATGAATTTGAAATAGTATATACTAATTATTACTAGTTTAACTCTGCTAGAACTTTCACATTAAGTAAATCTTATCATTTTCTCTAATGCATTTGGCGTATAAGTGACATCAGCGAAACACGAATATTCGTATATACGATATATATTATCGAAATAATCAATCTATTGGCTTCGTACCATGATGGAGTAAAAGGAAGAGGTGGAAGTGTTAACTGAAGTAGGATGTCTGATGTGTTAAATACCTCATATTATATATTCGTGAAGTTAGCAAATGGATTATGTGTATAAAAACGTGGTTAAGAAATATATCAGATTTTTCTTATTCCGTTCATTAATCTTCTTTTCGGAGTGGTGTTAAAATTACTCGATGTTTTAACAGCTTTTTGGTATACTTCCGCAAGCTGCAAACTTTAGCTAAATGACCATTTTAGAATATAATCAAATTTGATTTATGGTTCTAATACACTTAATTTTATTTTCTCTGACAAAAACAAATTTATGTTATTATTTAAATTTCGCGTGATTGATCTTTCATAAAAAATAAGACGAATATCTCTGAATAAAAACAAATAAAAATATATTTCACAAAGCCATTAAATTCGGTGTCAGGCTCAAGTACTACTTATTAATGGTTATTGGATAAACTGAATTGCGCTTAGATTAAAGACAATAATAGAAATAAGAGAAAAAGCTACAATAATATAAAAGGAATTATGTCAACACTTAAGATGTTAATCTATGTACCAATACGAATACTGATTTAAGTATGATATATTTTTTTTTCTTCATATTTTCATCTAGACCTGTCATAAGCTTGACAATCACCAGATGTCTTGTAATTGTTAAGGAAATTGATATTTTAGGAATGAGGAAGAATAGTACCCAGCAGTACCTCTTCCTGGTGTTGGTTTACTTCTTTAATTCAAGAAAGGAGATCTCTCATCCAGCTCCTCTTGATGGGCATGTCAGCTGATAAGTCTGTGTTGTTTAAGATGAAATCGGGGGTAGAGAGTACGTATATGTTGTTCGATAGTTAGTTGTTGTAAGTCGTTATGCAAAGTTTTGTTGTTTACTTACCAGGGAGCCGTTGTGATTAGTCTGAAAAATTTTGGATTGAAATGATTGTAGTTTGTGTAAGTGCTTCTTTTTTGCAAAGACGTAAATGTGTGAGGCCTATGTCAATATGGATTTGAGTAGGTAAGTGTATGTATTTAGTTTTTCTCTGATTTTCAATTTCCATTTGGGAAAAAAGTGTGTCAAGTATTTTCGGTCGCTTGTTCAAAGTCTTTCGTTTCATTTTGATATCAGGCTCCTAGGTTATCCTTTCGAATATTAACCCGAGATAACGTAAACTGTCTGTCTGAGGTATTCGGTTGTCGCAGATATAAACTGGTGGGTGTGTTTCGTCGAAGTTATTTGTTGTGAATCTTCATGATTTCATATATGTTTCCGAAGTGAATATCAATTTAGTAAATATAGTAAGTGTTATCGTGAATTCAGTGAGGTTAGTCTGAGGTCATGGTGCTTCGACTTACTCTGAGGACTATGATATGTTTGAATATTGAAAATGAGATATATATTACATTTTTAATAGACGTAATTTCTTTATAGAAAAATATTTTTTAAGAAAAAAAGTATGTTTTAACTTAAACGGATTATTTTTTATGTAAAATTCAAATTCTATTCTAGTCGTGCCCATTTCAACCACGTACTTACGTAGTTAAATTTTTATTTAAATATTTTCTCTATTGAGGCCGATATAATGAATAGGAATTGAGTCCTTCAACTTCCTTCTCAGCACAATAGAATCAATAAGAGACGGCAGGAAATCTGTTCCAATCCTATCCTCAACTTAAGTCTCTAATATCGTTATTCCACTGAAGTTGGTTCCCGAGTGGCGCGGAGTTCAATTGGAGAGGTATCGGATAGAAAAATCTACCCAGCGATTCAGAAACAAAAAAAAAAATTGAAGGAAAAAAGAAAAAAAAAGTCTCCTTTAACAGGACGGAAAAAGACTTCTTCGATTTATCCTTAATTAACAGTGGAAGAGAAAAATTTACCAGAGCGATAGCCAGGGGCGGTTGAATTTAGTCCAATTGTAAGGGAAGTCTCATTGTTATTCCATTGCATTACCTCTCTTCGGCTTTAGTCGTTCTTTCTCGGATCATAGCCGAAGTCTATCGCAATACTGTTCAGTGGTCCGTTTAATATATTTGGCAGAGGAGGTATCCTAATGGGTAACCTTCGACTCTTTAGTTTTCTCATCTCCAAACTGATCACTGGAAAATGAATTATTGTTGGAAACAAAATAATAAATCTAAACATTGGATAGTCATTAGTAATTAGTTGTGATAAAGTTAGGTAATCAATTTAAATAATTATTTAAGTTGTACAACGATCATATCATTCACTGATTATCATTACCATTATGACAGGTGTGAATAAAAAAAATCTGGTGTGTCCACTCACACAACTTTCCTACCTATTTCAGAAGCTTTTATATATTTACATATGCCCATCAAGAAACAAAAACAAATTGAATTAGATTTATTTTCCTGAAAATTGATCAAAGGAAAGATAGGAGTACGATTCAATCGATAAACTAAAGCAATGTAAACCGGTTTAAGGTAGATCAGTGTAAAAATTTCAATACCCTCTAATATTGCTGTTTCTTTCAAAAGTAGAGGAAATAGTGAAGCTTGTGTGATGCGGGCAACAGATTTTCTTACTTTCACTTATTTATCTTTTTTCTCACATTCACACCTTTCTGGCACCAAGATATGAACCCTTTATCTTACATTGGAAATTGAATAGCTGTAACTTCGTTAATAGTTGTCCGAAATGAACGATTTTTATACAGATCGATTTTTATAAATCCAATTTCTGTCACAGGCATCAGTAGTAAAAATCCTACAAAAAATAAAGAGAAGCATCAAAATCAGTTCAGTAGTTCTCGAAAAAATCTTGGCACATACAGACGGACAGATCAATGGCTAAAAATGTGTTTTTCGGACCCAAGGGGCTCTGAAACGTATTGATCCTTCAAAAACCGCAAATCGGAAATTTGACCCGATTGCAATACTTTCCTTACCTAGTATAGGTAGGAAATTAAACATTAAAGTTAAACAATAATTATGACAAATAACTTTGTTTGGTAATTGTTGTGAGCATATAATGCGTGCAACTATTATGTTGCTCCATCCTTACAGTCCAAAAACCTTTGTAAATTCCTCAATGCTCGTCTCTTTGTCTCAAATAAGTCCATCCATAATAACCTCATCGTTCTATTTATTGCCCGATCCAGATACTCATTCTTCCATAATAAACTTTAGATCTATCTTAACCTTATCGGTTAAACTATCCTCTTCGATCCCTGATGACCCTCTGAGGCATCTGAAAATATAAGGACTCGGGATCTTTTAATGTACAGCTTTTACCAGAGTGCAATCAATGCTTTGCTGCCTTACAAGTAATTATATTTCTCTGTTAACCTTTGCTTTTGGGATGTTTCACTTTCGAGTTTCCATGGAGAAAGAGCAAATAATTTTAAGACATGAACAAGTGGCCTATTTGGACTTACGGAGATCAGCTTTGGAGTTCCAATTCTTAAACCCTCGAATTTTTCTTGTATCCCGTCCTTAAAATTTGAAATCCATCGAAAACTATCAGTACTCCTTACATAATCCATCATGATCTCAATATTTCATATTTTCCATTGAGACGATTTTGCCCAATCCAGATACCTTTCACATGTATCCAGAAAATCCTTCTTGGAGTCTGAAAAGAAGATGGCATGGGGCCTTCTAATATAGATCTATTATTGGACAGCTACCAATTGGTGGTTTCTCTACATTTTACCAACTTGTATTTACTTGATGTATTTTCAGTTGATACAGTTGTAAATTTATATTTAAAAAAAAAGGCTGTTTTATGTTTTATTTAACTATCATTATAAATAATGAGATCGAACTGTGACGGTTGAAAGTAGAAACATCTTGCTTTTACGAAAAGGAAATGCACTTTTAAATTTTATTCTATGATGTAAATTAATCAATTCATTGTCAGACTTTTATAGATCTTTCGTAACTATGTTCTATATACATTTTTCATAGAATCCAAATCTGCCCTAACACCATAGGTATATAGTGTTTTGTTGTAATTGGACATATGGTCGGTACTCTTGGGTGAACGAGCCATTAAGTTTTGGATTGGATTTGGATCGTTTAAACCTGATATTTTTAACTATCCCGCTAATGTACAAGGCTTCTGTTACTGTAAGGTCTCATGTTTTATTTCTGTTGTTTTACTAAGTTTTTTTTGTTCTTTTGTTTTTTCTTTTCAAACATGAACTGATGAGGCTCCTTAAAGAGAGAGATTACGCTTGTTTCGAGGAAGTATATTGTATAGATACGGATGGATCCACCCGATATGCCGACATTGTAGCATTCCCTAAGACGGGAAAGTCGGCGATGATTTTGGATCCGACCGTGAGATATGAGACCAACGACCTATATCAATCAGGAAAAGTGGAAAGGGAGAAAAAACAGACATATGAGAAATGCATCCCTTTCCTTAGTGAAAAGTTCCGCGAGAGTTTCGGACCGAGAGAGTTCCACGTGAGAGGCCTTTGATTTGGAGCTCGCGGAACGATACCAGACTCAACAAGGAGCTTCCTGGAGGGCCTTGGTGTCGACATAAAGGACGTGGCAAGGTTGGCAGAGAACATAATCCTTGACTCCCTGGGAATTATCCATCACCATGTGCATGGATAGAGAGTTTGTTCATGGGGGGAGGCATGTGTGTTTTACAGCATTTTTACATTATTTATTGACCACGTCCACTGCACTTTATGTATTTGTATGCATGTTATGAATTAGGTTAGGAAAAGAGAGGAGAAAATCTAGGGAACGAGAAAAATGTATAGAGTGAGAGAAGGAACAGAAAGGGATGTATAATGCTAATAAATGAATGAAAGAAATAGTAAAAATAAAAAAAATAAAAATATAGGAAACAAAATTATGATAAAAAAAAATATATATAGATAAAAAAAAAAAAATTGTATATTATGCTCATACATGTTGTTAATACTATATAATTGTATATTACTTTTGGAAAATTGTCTGTAGCGATTAATAAGTATGCTGTGTTTAAAGCAACCCAATGTAATTGGGCAGCACTCTTTTGTGATAATAATTCTCTCTCTCTCTATTCTTTTTTGTTGTTGTATATATGTTACGAATGAGTCTCTCACATTTCAAATACTAATGTCCTTAATTGAGGAAAAATGAATTTTTGCTTAATAAATAATAAATACATATTTTAATTGAATACATAATAGTTGACCGTTGTATTATTAAGGAAGGAGATGGTCCGGGCTGGCGGTCATAATTAGACTAAATAATCTATTCTATTAAAAGCCAACAGCTTGACACGAGTTTGCAGGTGTAGAACAGACAAGATACAAAAAGATATACAGAGTTGTGGAAGTTACATCATATTTATATAAAAAATATAAACAATGTGAATAAACTTTAAAATTATAAACAGTAAGTACATTAAAATATTAAGAACAATAACTTGTATAAACAGAGTAAGCTGAGTAACAAGCTTCTAAATTAAAGTAAATAGATGGTAACAATTGCTGTAGTATAATATAAAATATAATATATACAGGAGAGATCAGAAGAAAAGGAAGGAGGATATAATATGAAATAATGGACATAAAGTCATATGGAGAAAGAAAAGAATAAAGAAGAACAAAAAAAAAGTTAATAAAATTAGAAGAATAAATATAGAGACTTACAGGTGTGTTCAGCAAGGAGTTTCACTTAGAACTGGAAAACCAGGGTAAGTATTGGGAATTTGCTGACCTGGTTGGGGAATGGTGAGAGGATAAGTAGTAAAAGTAATATAAAACCTGGAAAATTTTTATTTCATCTATTTATGACCGCCACTCCGGACCATCTCCTTCTTTATAAATATTTTAAAAAATATATATGATAAAAGATAAAACTGCTTGCTCGTCGTGATAGTTTTGATCGGTATTTTCGAAGTTTCTGTTGTGGGTTATTTTGAATGTAGTACTTAAGTATGTGTATGTAATTAATCTTTGTTTGTTTGAGAATTCGAAAAAAAAAGATGAGTTGAATAGTTATTGTTACTGTTCAGTGACAAGTAAGTTCAACCGTCTGAGGAATTCTGTTGTTCGAAATGTAATTTGAGTTTTTTTGATTTTTCATAGTTTGTAACTGTTCTCTAATTTAATTATGTTTTTTTAAAGGGGGATTAGGATTATTCAGTAGGATCTTGATGTTTTGTGAGAATTATTTTGTCGATATGTAGCGATAATAAGATGTACATTATGCAACATTTTATTTTTTTGCGACGAAACAAAAACCTACACACACACACATATATATATATATATATATATATATATATATATATATATATATATATTTTCATGTGCCCTTTTTATTTATTTTTCACTTGGAGCCTTTTGATTGTTTTCATAGTAGTCCTTTTACTGCTTAAAAGCATTGTAAGGTGTATTTTTTGATTTTTTGTCGTTTATGAGTACTTTGTTCTTCATTTGTAATATAACAGGTGATGGGGCTCACCTCAGGCTTGAGTTGACCTTATACTCTAGAGCTTACAACTAAATTAATAAAACATATATCTCATGAGATTTATTGCCAACGTTTTGGAATTTGGGCTGGTAATAATTTGTTGAAGAGAGGGTTTGCCAATTGTTGGGATTTTTTGAAAAATGATTTTTTTCGTTTTGCCAGAAATTCGTTTATTGTTGATTAATTTAGTGTTGCTTGAATATCCAATGTTTTCTTTCTCTGCAGCGTGGTTCCTCTTACAATTTTTCTAATTATTCCATTTTGGAAATATTGTAATCTTTTCAGAGTTGTTTTGCTGATGTGTTCGAACAGAGGTGCACCATACAACAGAACCGGCCGTATTGTACTTGTATAGACTAGAAGCTTTAGGCGTAAAGATAAGTTTGTTGTCCGAATTAAATTTTGGAGTATGTACGTCTTAGGTCTTACTGTTTTAATTTTTTTTGTCAAAATTTCTAGTAAATTTTAAATGTCCGTCGAAGTGAATACCGAGATATGTTAAGTCAGTCGATAATTTAATACTGTTATTGTTAATTTTGAATTCGTTTGGCATTTTCTTTTTTCCTTTTTGGTATGAGAGTACAATTCCTTTCGTCTTTTCAGTGTTAACATCTATGTTGAGGATTTTTAGCTGTTCTGCAATTTTTTCACAAGTTATTTCCTCCTGCTGCATAGCTTTTTTGGCATTCATACTGCTACTTGACACTGCTACACATATGCCTTAATTGTATCGTATGGAAAATGGAAATAAGATTACTTTTGCGGGAATATATATTGTTCAAGAGTTTATGAGTGACAAATTTGTAGAATTAGTTTAAATATAACTAGTTCTCCAACGATTATTTTTAATGTTTTTAACAATATGAAGTGTAAGTATACATCTTCATAGCGTACTCTTTTCTTATAAAGTTTTTTACTATTTTTTTTTTGAAAAACTGGCCTTTTGAGTATATATGATCCCTAAAGGGCTAAATATACACTGTTCTGTAGGAATATTGAGGTCCTTTGCCATATATTATCAAAGCACCTCTACATGTCATGTACATCCGCTCTGTGTCCTGGCTAAATCTGAAGGATTTGATATAGTGTTATACGGAGAATACCTCTAACATTCAAATAAAGTTACATCATACTCCCATATGTTAGTCACATGATAATTATATTTAAATAAAACGACGGCGTTTTTAATATTTTTGTATAGCTGAATAATATGTTATATATATTAAAATATATATTTTCCATTTTGACCCATGTAGATTTTTAACTTTCATAACACAAAAATTACCTAAATAATAAATCAATACCTCTTGGATTATAGATTATATCAAATATAAAACCGACAAACTATACTCATACCAAATAAAATACAACATTTTTACAATAAAAAATTGTTATTTTTTTTATTTCTTAATGACATTTACAACTGTATTACATAAATACATCTAGTAAATTTGGACATAATAGATATAATGACATGAATACACTTTCTGAGCAACTACCCAATGGTAGCACTCTAATGATATGACTACATTAGGAGATCACGAGGCCATCTTCTTTTCAGACGCCTCGGAGGGTTATCAGGAATTGGAGAGGAAGTAAGGTTAGAAACGAGAGGGATGCGATGATTCTGAAGTTTATTATGGAAGGATAGGTATCTGGATTGGGCCAGATCTGAAACATAAGGAACAGTAAGATCTTTATGGATAATTTTATTCGTGACAAAGTAAGGAGTATTGAGGATTTTACGAAGGATTTTGGATTGTAAGGATTGGATGCGAGAGGAATTTGATGGTTTAGTGGAGCCCCATAGCTCAACTCCGTAAGTCCAAATAGGTCTTATTATAGTCAAGTATATGAATCTTTTGTAATTAATGGGAAGTTTAGAGCGTTTGTCTAGTAAGTGCTGAAGTAATCGGAAACGTCGAGCGGTTTCTTGTCGTTTCAGTCTAGTATGAGGATTCCAAGTTAGTCGCTTGTCCAGGTGGAGTCCTAGGTATCGGATTTGCTCAACAGGGATAAGTGGAGTATTATTAAAGGAAACTGTAGGACAGGCAGTCGTTGGTTTACGACGAAGGGTAGAGGTAATTTGATGAGATTTATTGGAGTTTATTTTAATTCTCCACTTTTGACACCATTCTTCAAGATTTATGATGTGTGATTGAAGCATTTGGGATGCAATTGATGGATCATTATTTACTGATAGGATACATGTGTCATCGGCATATGTGGTGATGACAGTGTTGGGATAGGTAGGGATGTCAGCTGTATAAACTGTATAGAGGATAAGACCTAGAATACTACCTTGAGGAACACCAGCGGACTGGGAAAAAAGGGATGAATAGGCATTTTTGCTATTTACTTTAACGTATCTATCAGTAAGGTAGGAACAGATAATGAGGAAGTATGTAGGTGGTAGGAATTTTCGGAGTTTGTACAGCAGTCCCGGGCAATAATAAATTTAATATGCGAAAATGCTTTATTTGCCGAAGGGCTACCCATAATACTCCCATATAATAGTAATACCATAAGGTTTCGAGTTTTATTATTTCAATATAGCCTATCTATGTTAATTCAATTATTGTTTGGTCTACCAGCTAAAATATTTTTTTGTATGATATTGAAAAAAATTGTTAATATTTCTCACCTTCTCATTTACGTATCATTGTTCCATCTAAGTTATGTTATAACGATTGAAAACAAAATGGAAGAAGAAACTTTGATTAGATCTTACGTGATTCATAAATAATTTCTTTAATTTTTTTATAAATAACATTACATTTTATCTAAATATATTACATTTTTATAGATTATACAAATATTAAATAACAGCCATATAATAAACATAACCAAAAGTTAGAAAATAAATTTTAAATATAAAACAAATTAATAAAAAGGAAACAAATAAAATAAAGGTGTATAAAAATGAACTTTGGGGATAAACCCAGTTACAGTAAAGGTGAAACTGTTTCAATCAGTCGTTAATTACAAAAAGGTAACTTTATTTTATTCATGAATAAAAGATTAAACAAAAGAATCGTTCCATTCGCATCAACAGAGTTTTATGTTTTGCTAACAACAAAAAAGTGCGACGTGTCTACAGTTGACAATTTACAGTCGATTATTCCGAAACATCAACCCTTTATTTATTCCCATCATAGAGTATCGAAGGCTGCCTGAAATACTGCGCAGTTTAAATTTGTTTCAACTCTAGCAGCGTCTGTTTACAAAACGCTTATTGACCCGGCATCCGTCACTGGTTCGAGTTTTTGAAATTACTTTTTCGAGCGGAAGATAAAAAAACAACACAGGATACACGAAACAGCGGTACGACAAGGCTGCCCTGATTGGACAGATGTGTATTTATGGAAATTTCCCCCGTCCTGATTGGCTGACGCCTAAATAAATGTCTCTATAGCGCTTGCATAATGCATAGTATTCATCATCCTGTTTACGTCACGGACAGATAGCGAAAGTAAGATGAGTCTGAATCGGGAGCCACTGGACTTATCTTTTCATTTTATTTATTATCACTGCGATGTTTCCACATAAATCAGCCGTGAAATTTCATTAAAAAATCATTAATTGGCATTGAATTTATTAATTTCACAAATGGGTTTTGTAAGGTGTATTATTTTTTTTTTTTAAACTTTCTTTATTGAATATTAATACATTCTGCCACATTGAAGGCATTAATATTAAGGCTACATGATTCATTCACACAATATGCACATACAATTAATATCAATAATAAAGAGAAAGAAATATAAAAAATAAATAAAATAAGTAAATTGGTATGCCTGTGTACAAAAAAAAAAAAAATAATGAAATAATAGATAAAAGCTAGATGAAATTAAAGGAAATAAATCACATTCACACCTATGTACAATATTTACATTCAGCCAGGGGACTCTGAGTCATGCCTTATTCCCGTACGTGGAAGCCAAGGCAGGACTCAAGGAGATCCCAGTGCTTCTCTCTCAGCCGCGTCATTGTTATTTGAAACCAGTGGAAACTGATGGAGGGCACTATAGCAACAGACGCTCATGTCTTGCGTGGAGAATCTGGCCATTGCCAGTACTCCAATATATACATATTTACAAAAGATCGCGGGGCCACTGCCGTTTTAACCTCCGGGGAGGATTGCAGGGATGGCTGCAGCTAGATAGGGATTGTGCTACAGGATTTGGATGATGAATGAGTTTCTGGTGAAATTTGGAAAATAGGTGTATTATTAAAAATGTATTGATAATACACCCAGTAACCCTTGTGAAGTTTCATTTTCCTAATCTAGTAACTCTTGAATTGTTTCATTTTCGGATTTCCATAGGAAAGGGAAAATTAATTTTAAAACGTGAATATGTGGCCTATTTGGACTTACGTAGTTGAACTCTGGAGTACCGCTAGATTAATAATCGAATTGACGTTGTATACAATTCATAAAATTCTAAATTTTTCCTAAAATCCTCAATGCTTCTTACTTTGTCACAAATAAAAGCATCTGTAGTGACCATAATGTTCCATATTTTGCTGATTTGGCCCAAACTAGTTATCTGTGATAAACATGACCCATGATAAACATCCGAATCACCTCGGTCATTTTTCTCTTATGGATTATGAATTACATTTTTCTCTTCGATCCCTGATAATCCTCCAAGAAGTGTGGAAATATATAGTATTGGCTAGCTACATATGCGTAGTTTCTCTACAAGATTTTTCATATACATATGTTTCTCTGATCACCTTTTACTGATATTTTTATTTTAATACAGTCGTAAAATACACAATAAAAACAAAACAAAAACATGGATATGCCACGCCGTACATTTGCTAATCCTGATTGGATTTCAAATGATTTTAAATATAATTTGCCATGAACTATGTAATTTTTTTAATTTTCTTCTCATAACTATTTCTCTTGCTTCTTCTTAGGGATGCATTACACGACGCCTAGAGTCTATAGAAATTTTTTTTTTTTTTTTTTTTTTTATGTTTGATATATATATATATATATATATATATATATATATATATATATATATATATATATATATATCCATTGTTGTTAAATGGGTACCCGGATTTGGCATTAAAACGCGTTCCTTACCTTGTAGCGGTTGACAATTAATATATATATAATAGTTTTAAAAGTTTAAATATCAGCATTTATAAAGGAAATCAGTGTGATTGAAAATTATTTTATGGAATACTTTATTATGTGCAACATTTAAAATAATTGTCTTTGCAGAAAAAATATTTAACGATAATTTTCTTTTTATTGTTGAAAAGTAAGTAATTTAAACTTTGTTTTTACAGAAGCTGACTATACTTTGGATGAGTCGTTTTGGAACGAAGAGAGCCCCATGGGTAAGTATCAATGCACAATATGTTTTTAATACACACACACACACACACACACACACACACACACACACACACATATATATTTAAATGTTGATATAGAACAATTTTCTAGGTTTTGCATATCCGGTGTAAGACATAAGAAACAAATGGCATGTAAAAGCTAAGACATTGAGTAAGAAAAATGGTTTGCATTTCCCTAAAAAAAAATAAATATCAAACATTGGAAGAAACTGCTTCATCTGTCACTATCGTGTCTGTAAAGGATTTTCCTTTCATCCAAGCAACTTCCTTGGATGGTTATTAATGTTCCTCAGATTATGAGATGTGTGCTGGTATCTTATATATTATTATTTTTTTATTCCCATCAGCAATGAGCGTTAGGTGGTGAATTTGTGTTGAAAAACGGATTTCTAAATAACCAAGATTCATTACTGCTTTTTCCACTCTACCTTTCTTTATTTAATTATATTTGTTAACATTTTAATTCTAAAACTAATTGCAAAAACCTTAGTCCATTCTTCAAGGATGCTTGCCACTGGTCAGAAGTTGAAAAAAAAAGTAAAACTAAAATAATTAATTTTAACCTATCAATAAAGTAACTGTATTTGAGAAATGAAATAAAATTCCATAATATAAAATAGCTTAAAAACACAATTAATTTTTTTATTAGGGGAAGAATTGAAATATTGCTGAGTGATGAGTTGAGCTCCTGCGCGAGGGCGCTAAATGTCTAAGGCCGGTGCTTAGTCCCACTTTATTTTTACATTCAGCGTATCAGCCCTTCACTATATTTTCAGGAGAATAATCTTATTTTTAAACTAGAAAAAAAAACAATCATTTGGACTAATTTGCAGTTGTCACATTCTATGATAATAATAGAATAAAAAAGAGATTCAGTATTTGATAATTGACTAATTTTGAACCTATTTTATAATACTGGTGTTTTAGTGTTATAAAACTTACTGTGATAAGGACAAATCGGTCCAATTGATTTTTTTTTTTTTTTTTGTATGAATAAGTTTCTTCTTTATTTGAAAATGACCTAAAGGGATGAAACTTTGGGTATAAATGAAAACAATTTTTAATTTAAAAGTAATGATTGAAGTAGCTCTACAACAAACACAGATAATAGCATATTTCATATGCACCATTTTTATCAGTAATTAAAAATGTAATGAAATTAACAATATATACATTTATAATTGTTTGCTGAAATTTCGGTGTTATCGTGTTCCCCTTACGACACTCTAACTTGGCGTCACGTCAAAATACAATTTTGAATTTTAGTAATTACGAAGTATGAGTATGCAAGTCCATTTTTGAGATACTTCAATCGAAATCCAAAAAAATAGTCGTATAGATTCGACTTTATCTGAATGAGCTTTACATAACGAAGGCTCAGTCTCATTCAATAAGCGCGCATAAAAATGTTTTCACATCAAATAATATTTTCCTATCTTGGATGTGCTTCATCACAAAATACCACATTGAATTCGTCAATGTAGCGCATTGCAGTGTGAACCAATGATTCTTATGATTGCGTCAAAATGGACCAGACATATAATTTGAAGATTCTAGTAAACATTTGAACTGTTTCGTTATAATATGAGATAACAATAAAACAATTGACTGTAATTAGGTGGCTACTTAGCTGTGCACGATGCCAAGGATTTCTGGGAACAGAAGCAGGAGCTACGTAATCAGGATAAAACAAATAGCGAGGAGCTGTGCAAACGGGGAACTAATCAACCGACCAATAGTCAATGGTAAACATTTGGCCAGCCTAGACCGCTACGTACGCAGATATTTCTCATCCCGTTCTCCATGTGATTGTCCAAGACAAGCTGAATCTTTGGTTCAGGTTCCAATGCTGAAGAAACGTAGTCGACTTTGGTGTAAGAGTGGAACCATTCCAAAAAAACAAACAAAAAAAAAAACGAATTTTAATTTCTAAATTTCATAAATTATATTTAGGGTCCAATGTGGCCTGGCATCCACAAACAATGAAATATCTATTGTATACAATTCTTATAATCCGAATTCCTTCGTAAGGATCCTCTAGGCTCTTTATTAAGTAACTAACAAATTATCAATCAGCTTGCAATCTTACACTGAAGATTGTTTGTTTGTTTTGATGTTATAGGCGCAAAACATCTAGGTCATAAACGCCTTATCCATAAAATATTTAGCTGATAGGTTTAATGAGAAAAAAAAAATAAAAACATAAGTAAAAATATACATATAAAAACAAAAATAATAATAAATGAATGAGAGAGGAATAACAAAAAAAAAATAAATAATGAATAAATTATCTTAGACTGAAGATATTACATTTATTCCAGACTTGGCACGAAATAGATATGCATTCAATCAAAAACTTCTTCACACTAATTTGTATTACTTAATAATCTTTCAGCTGTGCACGCCTTAGACATTTGGCGCCCCAGAACAATGACGTCATGATCTCACCAATCATCTCTTCAAAAAAAAAGTTTTCTTTTTCTTTAGCAGTTTTATATTATGTAATATTTTTAATTATATTTAATTTAATATTCCACTGATACAGTTGCTTTATTTATAGCCGTTTTTTATTTCTTTAAAATTTTTAACAAGTGGCTAGCGACCCAGCTGATCGGTGCCTTCAACGTGCGTACCTCTAGTTAGGGTTGCCCTGCCCTAAGGCCAACGCTCGCTTTCAGAATCGTCTGAAAAAGAAACGGGCATAACGGAATAACGGAAATTACTCATCTACCAATTTTGATGTTATTGATTTTTTTTTCTGAAATTTCGTATGATGATGACTTTTATTTAGTTATTGATGAAGGAGCAGATCTCTGGGCCGTTTTTGTTTTAATCTATCTCGAGTAGGCAACAAAGAGGAGGAATATAGAATATAAATACAGATGATTTTGAATTGAACATTGCAATGTAGAATATTTATTGTGAATCTTGGATTTTACTGTGTGGTGTTATTTGAAATAAATATGGTCTGTTACTTAGCCTCAAAGTTCGGCTCCTTATGGCATAATTTGTTTAAGAATAGAGGTGTAGATTTGTCACTTGTTTCGTAAGTTATGTGAGGATCCGTAGTCCTGAAGCTGTAAGAATCTAACTTAAAATACTCATTGAAGTGGAACCAATGAGAAGTTGCTTCACTAATTACATACTTTTTATATGCTCTACAATTTTAGTTTACGCATCAGAATTACTTGGTTTGCTGCATCTATACTGGTGTCAATTTCAATAGTACAATAAAATAAAATTGTACTATTGAATATTGAAAACAAAAATAAAATACTTTACCATATAACATGCCTATTCTTTATAATATTCTTAAATTGTGTTACTTGTATATTTTTTTTCACATACCTATGTTGAATATATAGTAAGGAAAAGAACTGCGTTCATTTTGTTTAAAGAATTGATAAAATATTAAGAATCTGGATTTTCATATCTGTGCATTAATTTTATTGTTAATTGTATTATAACTTTCATGCAATAAATTTTTATTCTTAAAAAGTGTTTCGAGGAATTGTAAACTGCTTATTTGCTATATTTTTTTTTATAAAACTTTTGTCATTATCAATATGCAAAATTATGAATAAGTAATAGAGGTTACTGAAATACATAAGTATCTTTGTTTATTCTGGCTTAATTGTTATATTTTCTTGAATAATTAAAAAGTCGAAAGGCAATATAATTAGAACATGTTTGAAGTTGAAAATAATTACTGCTTTGGAAATTAATTCTCTTCTATATTTGATTCGGTTCGGTAATAATTTTATGAATTATTAATTTCGCACTGAATATGCATGGTCCTATCATATCCACATTATAAGCTATATACCCGGAATTAGCATTTTGTAATGGTGCAGGGTTGATTTTATCAAGGATTAATTCTATTTAATAAAACAAATAATGGTAGTAAGTTTGTTCATTGGCAAATATCGGGAAATCAATTTGTTATTCTGTCAATAGTTGTAATTCTAGGTAGTACCAATTATCTTTCAACACTTTTGATATATTTTAGTAATTTGTTTAATTGAAATACAAGTATATCACTAATGAGGTATTAGATATTATTTGAAATTTATATTTATTATGCTTTCGCTTAATATATATACTTTCTTCATTACAAATAATAATAATAATACTATGAGAAAATTTTATTAATCACAAAAAGTCATGAGCTTTTTCTTTACATACTTTTGTTATTTTTTCTTTTCTCCAAGTTTTTTATCTCTCTCTCTCTCTCTCTCTCTAAATATATATATATATATATATATATATATATATATATATATATATATATATATATATATATATATATATATATATATATTTGTTTCACCATTACAACTATAATTATTCATGAGAAGATATTTTTTTTATTTACTGAGATAATATTATTTAATTTAATGTATATATCGTGAAGTATGTATTTTCTTTTTTATTGTTCGTAAATATTATGAGGTATTGTAAATATTTTTAGCTCTGTCACGCATTATGTTTAATTACAATTATAATCTGAGTTTAAATTATTTATTTGTTACTTGTTAATTATGATATTCTTAGGAGACCTTTTCAGAGAATACAGTTCGTTTTTCTATCTAGTTATCTACTCATGTAAACGAATTTTATTATATTGGATATTTAAAAGTTGACCATTGTATTATAAAGGAATGAGTTGGTCCGGAGTGGGCCTCATAAATAGGCTAAATAGTGGCAAAACTATTTTATTGAAAGCCATCGTTTCGACCCCACTTTGCAGGTCTTTTTCAGGGCTAGAACGGACATGATACAAAAAGATATAGAGGATCGTGGTAGTTCCATAATATTATGACAAAAATTATAAACAATATGAATAAGCTATTAAAATTATAAACAGTAAGTACATTAAAATATAAACAGAGTAAGCTAAGTTTCTTTCTGTAGATCTGTAGAAGATTATTCGCATTTGCATATATTATATATTACACTACAACAATGTTACCATCTATTTACTTCAGTATAGGATCTCGTTACTTAGCTTACTCTGTTTATATTTTAATGTACTTACTGTTTATAATTTTAATATGCTTATTCACATTGTTTATAATTTTTCGTCATAATATTGTCTAGCTTTCACAATTCTCTATCTTTTTGTATCTTGTCCGTTCTAGCCCAGAAGAAGACCTGCAAAGTCGGGTCGAAACGTTCGCATTTAATAAAATAGTTTTGTTACTATTTAGCCTATTTATGACCGCCACCCCGGACCCTATCCTTAATTGATTTTTATTATATTATAGTATTTTTTATTTATTTTTATTCGAATAAATACTATTTGTGCCGCTAACTCAGCAATGCAGTGCCTTAGTTTTATTCACAATGTATATACATTTACTTTTTCGTTGTTTTAGATAATATAATAATAAAATATAAAAAGAAATAAAAATTGAAATACATAAGTTGAGAAAAGCCAAGATCGTAACTTTCTTAAATAAAAGGTATCATTTCACTAGAAAGAAGAGACGAATCCAAGGGAATGTCTGAAATAGTTGTCCCGCAGGATGGCCATTATGAAGATCGATTGCGGAGCCTGAAGGTATCCTATAAAAGACAGAGTGGACAGGAGTCAATGACCCAGGGGAGATTTACGATCCCAGCTGTTGCCGAAGAAGAAGGGACTTTACCTAACTTACCTCCAAGTCCAGAATAGAGTCACCCGCCTTAGTAACTCTCTGGATTCGTTCTACGCTCTCAGGAATTTTTATTCTAAGCTGGAGGGTGATTTACAGCATCAATAAACCTCTCCATGTCGACTCTCTTATCGTTTATAATGTATTTTTGCTTATTATTTTTTTTATTTGAATAGATAGCTACTATAAACTAGATAAAGTTGACTTAAAATTCAACAAACTTTGTTGAGGTGCGCTCAGAACGAAGACATCTGTATGTCTAGATACGTCTGATGCATCCAGGTGGCATATTAGCAAATCCTGATAGATAAGTTGATAATTATTTAACATTTGATAATATTTCTTTTACTTATATATAAATGTGTAATACGAGGAAATGATAGGGATACTAACCAGAATATCTGTAATTTACTGTAATTTAATATATGGATGTTTTTCACTCATGATTATATTTTAAAACAACTCTATGATCAATCAGTAATACAGAGTTTTATACTAGGGTAATAATTAAACACAATGCTTGGAAGAGCTAAAAATATTTACAATACTTTATCATATTTATGAATAGTAAAATTTAAAAAAAAAAAAAAATTATGACAAATTCAAGAATATTAATATTAGTGAAGCTTACTATTTAACTGAAAATGTAATGTACTAATAAATTAAGGAATAACTTTAATATACATATATATATATATATATATATATATATATGTATTAAAAATATATTAAAAATTGATTTAGGTTTAGAAATTAATACTTGATACACAAATGTACATGATGGGACAGAGACCCAAAGTAATGTTTATATCATGGTCAAAAATAATAATTTAATATTTAAATTATTACAACAGTTCTGTACAACGGCACTGTAAACGTCACGTATCACGTGATTCGTGATATTATGCATAATAATGGAACTAGTACTAAACCTTGTGGTATTCCTCGTAAAGCTGGTAGTAAAAAGATCTGAGGTTCGGCAGACAAACCAAATTCTGTAATAAAGACAAGCATAAGATAATATGTAAAAGGGTGGCGTTGTCTTAAATTTGAAGAGAAATCCCAGATATCTGATTCTATCGAGCGCTTGAGCATCATCTTGAAATACTGTTGCATACAATTTATATTCGTACCTCGATCCCTCAGAGTAATTGATGACAGGTTCAGCTGGTTTTTTGGAGTCCACTTTTATGGTCAGGTATGTTTTCCTTAGTCAGTATGTCAATAAGTGTTTTATAGAGAAGTTTCAAATACCATATTCGGAGAAGGCTGATGGTCACGGAAGGTCTTGTTTGGTTTGTGTGTTTAAAAATGTTCTTGTTTGGTTTGTGAATCATTGCAACGTAAACGTATTTTTAATGCAAAGGAAATTTTTCCGTTCTGAATATCGCATCAGAAATTGATGTTAGGAACACTAGATATGTTCTTGTTATTTTCTGGAGAAATTATTAGATCATGTGTAGGGCTTTCTTTGAGATAATTCTATAATTTGGTTGTGGTGATTCTGATTGAAGTGTTCATTATACGTCTTTTTTTCAGTATTTGAGAGGCCAGTACGTCATGTAAAAAGAGAGGAAAGTTATAGTAAATAAAACATTTATTAAATATCTTAATTCTGCTCCGTTTTGACCTGTAGAGTATTATTTTATCACAAAGTTAAATTTAAATATGAATGCTATTAATTTATATTGCTTCGCGGAATATAATAATATAAACAAAACAATGTTTCCTATGACAGATATTCCACAAAACAATAAAACAAAATAAAATTTATTTTAAAAGGATAAACGTATACATATTCAGATGTAGCAAAACAGGCCTCTGATAAATAATATTCTCACGGTATTTAAACAAACCGGCACAGTATTAACAGAATTAATCAACCCTAATACTCCTACAAATAAAACAGCCATTTCTCGATATAATATATTTGAACGATAATTTCATGCATTTATTTTCCCATGCATAAATTAGAGGCATGGAGTGATAAAATATTCAGCACAAACGGAAATTCATTGTAACACGTGGTTTAACTTTTAGTCACTTTCTTTTTTAAGGGTTCATGTATGGCCGTTTTAGCCTCGCAAATAAATTGCATATTACGAATTATCAGGAAACAATTACTTGGAAAACGTTTTAACTCGTTGCATTGGTTAATTTCACGTAAAATAATATTCTGTGGACATCATGTTAAAATTTAAACATTATTGGAGTAACGATTTGTTTATATAATTTCTACTTTACTCACCATTGATTTAATTTAATAAGGTTGTATGCAATTTAACATGTTTGGGCTAAAAAGGGATTTCTGATATCCATGTATACAAAAGACAACCAAGAGATTCTTCTCTATTAGCTAAATTATGTAAAAAAATTTGGTTTTGAAATAAATAAATTTTGAATTTAAACACGATAATATGATTCTTAAAAGATAATTTAGAGTGATAAATTCACATATTATTTGTAGAAAAGTTCTTTATTTTGTATTTTAAAATTAAAGGAGTCAAGCTAGTTATTTACTCATTAAATAATACTAATATATCATTAAAAATATAACACATCATACATACTACATTATTATTATATACACAACATTATAATTATAGGATGCTACACATTAAAGTAATAAATTCAAATTTATTCAAGTATATTCAAATTTAATAGGATTCCAAGTCGATGTCATCTAGGGTTAGTTGGCATTCATAAATAGCATACATTATTTGCTTTTAGTTTTTTTATTATTTAAAATACATTGCTAACGTTTTGGGAAACACTTACCATCTTCAGAACATTAATTTTGTAATCATAAACAATATCCTTTATAACATTATTAACAGAATTTTAGTTTACAATAATTTAATATAATAATAATTGTTCATGATTACAGAATTATTGTTCTAAAGGTAGATAGTGTTCCTCTAAACGTTAGAATTGTATTATACATAATAAAAAAATGGGAAGCAAATAATTGATGCTGTCTAAAAATGTCAACAGATTCTGTATAAATTAATAAATAAACAGCTTAAAATTCAAAATGAAATATTTTTTTTTTATTGAATATTTATACATTCTGCCAAATTAAAGGGCATTAATATTAATGCTACATTAATCATTCACACAATATGTACATACAAATAATAACTAAGATAGAGATAATAAAGAAAAAGAAATATAGAAAAATAAAATAAGTAAATTAATATGCCAGTGTACGAAAAATGAAATAATAGATAAAGCTAAATGAAATCAAAATAAATACAACACACATATATATAATACTTACATTCGTCCAGGGAACTCTGAGTGATGGGAAATATATTTTGATCATATTTCCAAGTGACTGATCTACAAAATCCTACTGAGACCAATTTGGACACACGGAGTAGAACTTGTGGGTTCGGCAAAAATAAATGCCGTAATCGCGAATAAAGAAAAATAAAATAATATACCTATATGATATTCACATGAGATAATAATAAAATAATTTTGTATATAGTTACAACTTTTAGGGAACTTGATATATTGGCAATTACTAAAACGGCGAGATTTAAATATGGGGAGGGTATTGCTACGGATATAAAAAGAGATGGAATACCACAGGATAGTATAACGAAAGATCTGTTGACTACTGCGGTTCGGTGGGTCTTCGTATGTACAATAGATCTAAAGATATCCAGCGGTTATTGCGGGAACGAACGGATAATTTTAATAGAAGGAGCTCGGAGATGTATGAGGGGCTGCAGGATTGGATAGCTTGGAACACGAAGGATATCACGAAGTTCTTATGCCGTAGGAAGCTGAAAGATAAAATCGCTTCAACTCTCCATAAAAGGGGAAAACAGAGATGTCTCTTGGGACATCTACTGGATTTCCCAATTCCTCACGGGGCATGGAGGATTTCGAGCTAAACATCACGGTCTGGGCTTTGATGTAGATCCTCTATGCCCAATCTGTAGTGTTCCGGAAACTGTAGAGGACGTGGTCACGACTTGCACCGCGTTTGAAACGTTAAGAGCGGCAATGACAAGAGCCGTGGGAATCTATGTCCTCTCTCAAAATGAGTTTCCTCAGTTAGTCAGTGAGGAAAATCTCCCGCGGCTTAAGGATTTCATAAATGGATGGAAGACTGCAGTGGGGCCCGCTCACTTCCATATTGGTGCTCGCAGAAGAAGAGGACAAGCGCCAGGAAGACCTCCAGATTCTGAAAGCTAGGCCGAAAGAAGAAGGAAGAAGATAAAACAGAAGAACTATACATGTGCATATCTAGTAATAGTGTGTTATTAAGTATTCATGCCTAAAACACACTATTGCAAACACCAGTATTGCCATTGTGGCATGGGAGGGTGGAAATAAATAAATAAGATGTCTCTTGGGATCCCATATATAAAACGTACAACACAATTTATTGTTTATATAAGAAGAAATCGTTGAGTGCAAAAGAAAGACATATGCCTTAATTTAAAGAATAGCTCATAAGTGCGCAATGTTTTGATTTCTCAGAGAGAAAATTCATCAGAGTACTTAGTGGTAAAATTTTATGAAATGTTACTTAAACATTTTTTTTTTTTAATGACCCGAAGATATATTTTTAAAAAAAATTATAACATTTTAATGTATATAAAACATTAGGTATATAAAAATTGATTTATTTCATTAAAATTAAAATTATTGGAGGAAGTTTGTCGACTTTTCTACATACCATGGTTGATAAATATTCAGAACGCAGTCATTATAAAGTTTTTATTAGGGCCGACGTTTCAACCCAAACATGTTGACTTGAATACCTTCAGTGCCCGCATGTTTGGGTTGAAACGTCGGCACTAATAAAAACTTTATAATTATTGCGTTCTTAATATTTATCACCCATAAAATTAAAATTAGTAAACTACAATTATTTAATTGTGTACATAATTAATATATTTATAGTATATAAAACTTTTTAATGTAATAAAACGGGGGCAATAGTCTAGCAGTTTATCGTTCTAAATCCCGTACCTTAATGTATAAAAATTTAATTTTATTT